AGAAAAAAACTCTGCTTGTGAAAGCCTCTTCCTTTGGCTTTTCTTTTCTTTCCCGCCCAGCTGGTATATGTGGCGAAGGACACAGCAGCAGCAGAGCTGCACTCTGCTTGGATAAAGTAACATTTTCCATGGTGAGGAGGGAAAGGAGACAGGCCTCAATAGCAGGCAGCTAGTGCCCCAGAACAGAGCTGCTTTCATTGCAACACTGGCTGAGGCTGCAGTGTCTTTTCTCTCCTCCCAGTGAGCTAAGAGGCTGAGACGATATAGAAGTCTTCAAAGAGAGAGAGAGAGGAGCTTGGAGTCTCATTTTTATTTTTGTTTCCCCTTTGGAACTAGCCATCAGTAGAGCTGAATGGCTGAATGACCCGGGGAATGAATGCATGTATTCACTCAGCCTCTGAGGGTTTCCAACCTCACTTCAAATCCAAATGTTTTCTGGAGTGGGCACTAACGAGTCTTTGCAGTATGCTCTGTGAGGCCTTCTTATGCCTGGAATGCATTTCTTAGTGCTGGAAAAGAGGCAGTGAGGTGACAGGGCTCTGTCCGTCACGTGGAGGGAGAAGGAGATGGCAAAGTGATTCGCTGGGGAAAAAATAGTGGAGCCTTTCACCTGTTGGTCACTAGTTGAATCCCACCCAGGTTGATAGTAACTGAAAGTCACTATCATCTGATGGCCCTTATCAAAGGTGCCATCTGTGAAAGGAGTTCCATCTGAGTAGTTTCTAGTGGACCTATGACCCTACAGAAAAAAAAATCACAGGTGGTGCTCTTGGTTGTCTGAATTTTAGCTTTTTATGTGCCTGGTTCTGGGTTATACTGACTGGCTTTGCTGCGCCTTAGCTATCCTGCAGTGTTATTTCTGATGTGGGTAGTTTTTAAATTATGCCAGTGTGCTCAGAGCATAACAGTAGGTTCCCTTTTTATTCTGTGCATATACATCTAAATACATAGGCAGAGAATCCAAGGATGGAACAGGCCTGGAGACTAAGGGTATGTCTACACTACAGGATTAATCCGAATTTAGATAATTCGAATTTGGGAAACAGGTTGTATAAATTCGATTGTGCGCAGCCACACTAAGCACATTAATTCGGTTTTTAACCACATTAATTCGGTGGTGTGCGGCCACACTACCCCATTAATTTAACCACAGTAATTCGGTGGTGTGCGGCCACACTAACCCTAATTCGAATTAACAAAATCGATTTAGGCGCTACTCCGTTCGTCGAGGTGGAGTACAGAAATCGATTTTAAGTGCCCTTTAATTCGAATTAACTGGCTCTGTAGTGTGGACGGGTGAAGGGTTAATTCGGATTAACGCAGCTAAATCCGAATTAAAGTCGTAGTGTAGACCAGGCCTAAGTTGCTCTTTTACCCTAGAGCTGATCCCTCTAGATCAGGACCAAGTCACGTTGCCAGGGCACCGTGGGAAGAAGTACTGGGCTCTGTTGCTGCCCATGTTGTGCCTGTTCTCTGAACTCATATGGGAGGGACCCTGCTCTCCAGGTTGTTAATTCAGCTCCACATCCAGAAGCAAACTTTTAAAAGATATAATCAGTAAAAAATGGATGACTCCAGCCTTTACCCCCCACGGATGAAAGGGAAGAGATTGCAAAGCATGTCTGATTGCCTTGAGGGAATAATGACGACATTCTTAGTTATGGGGCTGGTGACCAGTCTGTACTTGGACACCTGTAACTCCCAGGTTCTTATGGGTAAGGGTGGAAATGTCCCTCTCTCAAGTGTGTGTTCACATACGCCTGCAGACTCCTCTTCGACCTCCCACTTCCAGGCAAAGACCAAGAATTATAATGCTGCACTCAAGCCCCATGAAGCTCTCTCGTAATGCATTTTCTTTCCACCTGTCCTGATCTTAGGGTTGGCTAGGCGACAAACCAGCCCCGGTGAAGTTAGAGCAGCCTCCAACTTCCAGGGACTGGGGACTGTGCTGCTGGCCCAGGATTGCTGAAGTACATTGTTCTCCATCTCTGCCCCTGCTGCACTGGCCACACCCTCTGTACCAGGAAGTGAGGAGCAGGTGGTATAAAGCTCACTGTGCAAGTTTTGCAGGGCTGAGCATTCACCCACGCAAGGGGAATCCTCAGTTTCCCACATAGGCCAGACTACAGGCTTCTTTTGTGCCACTCTGGAAACACAAAGGAACCTTGGTGGGTGCCAAGGACTTTCCCCCCATCTTTGTAACCAGCCCTCTCCCTTCTGGAGGAGCAGCCACAGCATTAACTTTCTGCTTTGGGGTATTGTAGTGATGCTGTTCAGACCCCCTACGGGAAGTCAAGTAGTCTGCACAATCCCATAACTTAACCCTATTTTCATTCATTTGCTGGATTTGCTCTGGGTGAGCATAGACTGATCATGCTTTACCTTCAAAATGTGTTTTATTTTGTTTTTCCTAATCAAACTTGCCAGGCCCCTGTCTCATCACGTGGATTAGCCCCTTTTGATGAGTTTGAAACAAAAATATGTTTGCAAATCAAAAGATGTTTTTAAACAGAAGGAACATACATGCTTGACAATTGCCCTGTGTTTATGCAGAAACTGTTCTGATTGCCTGTCTTTTGATAATAACATATTGTGGAGCAATACAATAATAACTAGGAAACAAAACGGAACCTGGTAGTCATGGCTTTCCTACAGAAGACAATACAATGTTTTCTAGAATACTCCCTGAAATGAAATGCACATGAAAGTCTGGAAAGAAAAGAAGGTGGTAACCCCAGAGAATTTGCCTGTAAAACAGGCTTTAATGACCTTCCAGGAAAGCTTGTTTTCCCTGAAACAAAACTAAAGGGAAATGAAATACATTAAACTGGCTTTAAATGATGTCAGAGTGATGATATAAACAAATCCAGGAAACAAATAATTTTGTGGGTTTCGTTTAAAATAAATGTTTACAGCTGAGTAAGTTAAAGAAGATGCATTCTCCTTTCCCTTAATGTTTCCCTGTGTTTTAAATTGTGTGTCATGAACCCTTAGGGCTAAATGGGAACCTAACAGTTCTCATTGTTCTCAAGATGCTAGCTGGAAAGAGTGCTGCTCCATTGCTAGGCACTGGGCACTTTTGAAAAAATGGCCACTTTATTTAAGTAGCTAAATGGGAGCGGTCGGGTGTGGAGCTTTTTGGAAAACCTGGCCCTAAGATACTATCATGCTATTTTTTATACTGCTTTTTTAAGAGAACCTCTTTGTAAAAGGGAAGGCAGATTACCGTGCCAGTCATATGTCCTTCACAGCAGAAATGAGGGGCTCATCCTTGCACAGCCAACTTGCCAGTTGAAACCCTCCAAAGGCCCTTTTAATGCATTCACAAGCATGTTTACCTGATCCTGCTGCTTATTTATTGAAGTGGTTTTTCAGTAGAGATTTGTGGAATCCATGATTACATAGAACCGTATAACAACCTACGGATTATATCACTGGGATGAGTACATAGACATTACATGGTGAACAGAGAGTGAGTGCAGTCGAGCTTATTTAGCACACACCTGCTTAGGAATAGGCCAGCTGAGAGAAGACATTTTCCATGCACAAACTCCAAAACATTACAGAATTATAATGAGGCCCCAGTTCCAGAATAAACCAGCTAAAAGAATAAGCTTACAAGGGCACGAAAATGTAAAATAAAATAAAAAACGTAAAGGAATACATCTGCTTAAAAGGAATACACTTCTGTAATAGCTTTACTCTGGGTCACTCATCTTAGACGTGGTGTTTGTTAGCCAGTGAGATTGTTGCTCTCTTGCCCAAGTCATTTGTTACAGATGTTACATGACTTACCCAACGTTCTTCAAAAGAAACAAAGCAGCACCTTCTGAGCTATCTGTGAAGTCTTCCCGTGTGTGTCATTTGGACCTACCCCTTTCAGGCCAGGACACAGGAACCCTGAATATTTTAGTTACAATATTCAAGACACATATTAAAACTGAAGTAACACAATTTCACATCCTCTTCCACCCATCCTCAAGTTCCATTTCTCACTGCGTCCCAGAAAGGGGCATTGTTAGTGGTTAAAAGACAAAGATCCCACGGACCCCAGTGTTAGAAATTCTCAAGGCCTCCAGCAGGAATGCTTAGAATAGCATTTATTTCACTTTCCTTACTAGTATTATAGGCTAGTGCTTAAAGCAGATGGTGCAAATAAGTGAGCCCTCAAGAAAATGTTTTAATTTGGTGTATTGGGGGGGGGAAATGAGCTCCCTATTCTCTGTGACCTAGAGAGGGATCGAGTGTCCCCACTAGTTTTTTCCCTTCTTTGTCTTCTCCCTCACAAAGCCCAGGGGCCCTCCACCGCAAAAGGAGATCAAACAGCACCCTTTGGAGCCCAGCTTGTATGTCCTTGTTTTAAAATAGCACACGTGTTGCAAGTGAAGATTGAAGGACATTATTGTTTCCTAGAAAACATCCAGACTGACATAACATCAGCATGTTATGTTGTTACCCAAGGTGGCAGTGATGTATCACAGCATTGCGGGGTGGCGGTGGTGGAGGTGAGGGGATGTGACACTATGGCTCATCATCAGGCCATGACCTGTTTGTCCCAGAGAACAAACTTTAAAATGGTGGCAGCCCAAGTGCCACTCCTGAATCAGCCATTGCTGAATGTTTGAAAGGAGATCTGGTCTGAACGCAACACCTGCAAGACACTTCCTCCCATCACCTCCTTGCAAATTCAATACAGTGCCTTGCACTGGGTCTGCTTCCTTCCACCTATGCTGGCTCAGGGTATATACAGTGAACTGAACATGGCCACTTAGCCACGGCCCCACACCTACAGGAACCATGTGCTTCTTCATACGTAAAACAGCTGCGTTTGGGGTCTTTATCTGACTTTGGCAAAACCTATGAGAGCTTCTATTCTCCATGAATTAAGAGCTGTAATGGCTAAGGCCTGGTCTACACTAGGAAATTAGGTCGGTATAACTATGTTGCTCAGGGGTGTGAACAATCCATACCCCTGAGTGACACAGTTAAACCAATGTACCCCCGACCCTAGACAGCACTGGGTCAATGGGAGAATTCTCCAGTCGACCTACCTACTGCCACTCTGGGAGGCATAGTACCTACGCTAATGGGAGAGCCCCTCCCGTTGTTGTAGGTAATGTCTTCACTGAATCCCTATAGGAATGCAACTGCAGAGGTGCAGCTGTGCCACTGTTGTGGTTTATGTGTAGACATACCCTAATGCTTCTGTTTGTGAAGAGAAGGCAAATATTTTAATATCCGCGTGGGCACCCTTTGGTCTTTATAGTAAAAGAGATGGAGGAAAAACTTCAAACTACCAAAACTTGGAGAAATAGACACCTTAGCCCCAGGGAGACACTTTCCAAGGAGCTTTAGAATTAGTGATGCCTTCTGTCAAATGCTTTCCCTAGCAGATGTTGCTGGTCTTATGTCACTCACTGCTGGTTAGTTCCAGATTGTAGGGCCCCAAGAAATAGTGCCACATTGGTGTAATCTGGTTCCCTCAGCCGGTCTTTACAAACGTCATGCTCCCACATTATGGGCTGTGGAACTCCTTTAGAGATTTCCGTAGGTACGGGAATCGCTGCCACTCTGCTCTCCCAAGGTCTCTGTCCTGACACCGTGCTCAGCAAAGTGGTATTGGATGATTTGAGATCTCATTGACAGCAGTGAATGGGGTGTTTGTGCAATGAGGTGAGTTGGTTTTTGCAGCAGAATGGTGGAGAAACAGTTGTCACATTTTAGTGGACTCCATGAAGTCCCAGTCCTGGGTGGCTGGTGGCATCCTTGAGCAGGTCCGATGGCACTGGGAGACAGGCTGGGTCCGCCTGAAGCTGTTTATGGAACGCCTTAGGGAGCCCAGTCGCTTCCAGAACCTTAGCTCTGGTTCACTGGCATCCTCTGGGTGGTAGGGCATGCACTCGTGTGGCCCATAGCGGGCCTGGTCGAGTGCTGCTGGTTTGCAGAGAGTGATGAAGATGAGACAGGTAGCCAGGAGGAGAAAGATGCAGATGAGTGCGATGATAATAGGCAAAGGGTCTGGCTTCTCCCCTGGGGGCATGGGACTTAGTGGGACCAACTTGGTGGTAGTTACAAGGAATCCAAGGATACTAGGTGTTGGAGAGGTCTCATTCCCAAAATCCTCTGTGTTCATCTTTCCTGCAATGCAGAAGATTATCAGAAATAAGATGATTTAAACTATTACCATCTAGAAGCTGTTCCGTAGCTGAGGTAAAATTGACTGATGGCCTCAGTCCATAGAGGTGCACACATCACCAAAACCACCCTCATGACTGGTGCCAGTTAGCACTCATGTGGGTAACATCAGCAAGGAGGACAACGACTACTTGGGATGAGAGATAGAATGACCTTCTTATCCTTAGAGGATGGTTCCTCCAGAACTGGGCTGAGGCACATCAGTGGGCCAGTGTGTGAGATTCATGTCTTATACGTGTTCCTTGGTTAAAGAGAAGACTTCAGTTTGCTAGGCTGCCAACCCAGCACCTTTCACCGGTACTAAAATGCACCTAAAAACATGATGCAGGAAGCTTCCACTGGCCCCAGTAAAAGCGAGGGTAGGGGAAGTTTCCATGAGGCCCATCATCACATGGGCAAAGAGCACCTCTTTGCATTCCACTCGTAACTCTGACACCTTCTAACAAGCAGCTGGCTTTTTATTTTTAAGAAATTGAATTACCCTGGCTGATAGTCCAGAGTTTGGACTCTCTAGAAATGAAGTACGGGGCTGGAAGCCTGTGAGAATGAGGTTATGGAACTGTTTGTTCCAATACACCAGCAGGGACAGTGCAACAAAAGGTACCCTATTGTGGGATTTAGATCTATTAAATACAGTTTCTGTGCACTGAACTAAAATACAAGATATAAAACAACAGAGCCCCCTGACAGGAATATCTGTTAAAGGGACTATATAGCCACATACTGGTATGTGGAGCAAAATGCACCCCTCCCCCATTGCCCCGGGTAATTAGCATGTCACATCTCTAGTGCTGCTATTCCAATAGAGCTCCATTATGTATAGCTCAGCAGCGAAGAGTAAGGAAGGCAGGGCCAGTGCAAGGAAGTTTCCCGCCCTAGGCAAAACTTCCACCTTGCGCCCCCCCCCCCCCCCCCCCCCCCCCCC